CATAACTTGTCCTCAAGTTATGGATTACCAAAAGTTTTTGTGTGTTACCTTGTTTTATGAGTTAATTTATATTAATGGAAAAATTATGTGTTAGTTGTTTTCAATCCAAATTGATCTAAAAGTAGTTCATAAAATGTGTTTTTGTAACTTGTCCTCAAGTTATACGAAAAGTCACATTTATGAATCTTAAAACTCATAAAAGTGTCATAGGTAAAAGGCTACTTTACCCCCAAACCTAGCTTGTTTCAAGCCCAAGGCCCAACTCACACTCCAAAGGCCCAAAAGTCAAGTAATGGGTCGAAACCCAACATATGGCCCAATATCTCATAATCATCAAGGCCCAATTATGGCCCAATTTTCCAAATTGGGCCGGGACCTTTCTAATGGCCTTCTCCTCAAGACCAATTAATTTCCTTAGTCCAAAACCTTGTTTCTGAATGGCCCACGAAGGCCCACAGCAACCTAGTCCAAGAATTGGCCCAAACCGAGGCCCACAATTGCGAAGTCCATTTCTATATTGGGCCACAAGGCCCAATAGACCCAACTATTCCAATATTGGCCCAAAGATATATTTGGGCCCATCAACCAGTAAATCCAGGCCCAAAACCGTTAGGGCCTAAAGGTCCGAAGTCCACAAAGTCCCAAGCCCTCCTGGGAGCGTACGCCCAGCGTACCTCTTCTGTACGCTTAGCATACTGGGTAAAAGGGATGTAAGCGCAGCGTACTACATTGTACGCCCAGCGTACAAACGAATTATGCACAAAATCCATTAAGTGCTTAATGCTTCAAACCAAGGGGCCAAATTACAGATCTGAGCTCTACTTAACGTCTTAATCCATAAAGTCACTGACTTGGTGACTTATATGACCCACATGAATCCAAACTCATAGTATAGCAATCTACTACCATGAAAATGACCATAACTCTTGTATGAACCCATTAAGACCTCCAAGATGGAAACTTTCCTGCCTAAGGGACTCAAATAGCTTTATGGGTGGCAACCCTAAGTCCAGAAACAGATTTGCACCATAAAAATCCATTCTTGAAACCAAAAAGGGACAATATCCATGAGAACCTAGATCTATGTTGTAGAAGCACCAAGATGAGAACTTTATACCTTCAATAGGCTGGAAATGATGTAAAACCTCTGGATCTACAAGCTCTCTTCAATCCCTTGCTTCTTCTCTAGATACCTTCTTCTTCAAATCACCCAAAATACTCCTTGTATGGCCCTCCAAGCTCCAAAATCACTAAAATGAGGGCTAAGGGGCGATTTCTAGGGTTTAGAGGGGTGGAGGCTGAAGATATTAGGGTTAGGTTATGAGATAAGGTGTTTAAATAGGGTCCAAGACCCTAAAATAGGGTTCTGATCTGATTGGCGTACGCCCAGCGTACTCCGAAGAACATTCACGACCATCTTGCTCAGTACGCCCAGCGTACTCCAAGGTACGCCCAGCGTACTGCCTTCTTCACTAGTACGCCCCGCGTACGCTTTGTGTACGCCCCACGTACTCGGCTAAGCCTGAAAACCACAAAACTTCCGAAGGCCATAACTTCTTCGTTATAAATCCGATTCTGACGATCCTTATATCCACGGAAAGGTAACGAGAAGCCCACACTTCTATAAACTTTATTTAACCTGAAACCCAACTGAACTAAAATCCAAAATTCATAAAAGAGGTCTGAAATACTACATTCCCGTTTTACCCTTGATCCCAAAGTGCAAACCGAGCTATTGGGTCACATACCTACATTACCCACATCCAAATGGGCCTAAATCTTACCTTTATAAAGGCCCTAATCCTTATGATGACCGCTCTTCGGGCCACAACCTCGAATTAGGACTTTATTCGAAACAGGGCGTTACACGGAAAATAACTTAACCATTAAGTTCACATGCAACCTAATTGGATCTATGTTTTCACTATTGAAAGCTATAAACTATGAACATAAAAAAAACTCTATGGAACCCCTAGAAATTTCGAAAATCATAAAAGGTTAGGGTTTACATACCTTTTAGTTATTGTTGTAAATAACTAATCAAAACCTTCTTCAATAGCTCTTGGAAGCAAGCATCAGAGATCTCGTGCCTCTGATGGTTAACACCCAAACCCTGGCAATAGGAAACTTAAAGAAAGATAATTTCAGCTATGCTCTTGAGGGAAGTGATGGCCGAAAAATTGAAGAGGTAAGGGCCTATTTATACAAATAACTAATGGTTGAATCTCATGAAATCATTTCATAGAAGTTCACTGAGATTTTCTTTTTATAAAGCAAATCAACTTCGATTCTTGAATAATCCACATCACTTCTGCTTCTATTATAACAAAAGATTCTCCTTTCATGTGGAAAATGCTCGTATTAATAATTATGATTTTACGTATGGACAATTCTCAATATCTTGTTCATTCGCAACAAAATATTTTCTTTGTGCGTCGGTAAAAAAACATGTTTTTTGAGGGAGAGATACTATTTTAGCAATCGAGTCACGTGTATCTAAGATATTCATGCCTAAGGCTTTTCCACAATGTGGTGATGAAACGTATAACTTGTACAAATCTTTCCACTTTCCAAGTCGATCCAATCCATTCGTTCATAGACCAGCTTCGAGTGATCGACTATATGTCGGTAATGACAAAGATGTTATGTATATGATATGACATACATACAGACTTTATAGTGATATTGATACTATGATACCACTATACAATAATCGGTAACCCTTGCATCAATTTGACTAGTTCGAATTATAATTCCGCTTGCACCATATCAAGGTTACACCAATACACCATTATACTCCCAACAAAACTATGTGTGCCGAATAGGCGAATACAAATAAATTGTCATATTTAAGTTTAACAAATTAAAGTATAAACTCATCAATTCCATAGGATTTGACTTTCTTGACTTTGACTTTGACTATGACTTTCTTGTTGTCGTTGAATCTAAGCCAAACCAACTAGCTTTTCACTAACCTCCCACAGCTTCCTAGCTTTCTCAGCATCACTGGCTTCTTGCGAGAGTTGGTTTTCAAATGAAGCAGAGTTCTTATTCCAGCTCCAATACACACCCGATTTCGTTAAGCTCGAATCACTTACCACCTGAAAATTAGTCACAAGTCAGAACCTTGATCAACTGTACATCATGCTTTAATAGTTGTACATATCCTTACCTGGGCTAGCCGTTTTCCTGCTTCTTCTTCAGACACATATCCTTTAGTGATATACTTCTGAAAAGGCGGGAATAAAAGTCGAAACAACGGGATGTGTTCCCTGAATAAACCGGTGGTAGCTATACAACCAGGGTACAGGGACGAAAAAGTAACTCCAGTTTCTTCATGGTATCGTCTGTGAAACTCTTGCATCGTCAGCATGTTGCAGACTTTGCTATCTTTGTAAGCTTTAGCACCATCGAACTCTCCACCGTCGATCATGGCGGAACTGTTCAGCCCGTTCAACCCGCCGGCTAACCCTCTCAGGTCCCCTAGGTTAGCCTTCGGTGGCACATTTCCGGCCAAAGTGTTCGTGTTTCCTAACATCCAAAAACCCAGTTCATCAAAGATTTCATTTAAAGATTTGGAGTTGATTTTGTAAGAATAATTTAGTACCTGTAATAGAGCCAACGATGATGAGACGCTTTTGGGGGGAATCGGATTTCTTGAGGTCATCAAGCAACAATCGTGCGAGGAGAAAATGGCCAAGATGGTTAGTACCGACGCTAAGTTCAAATCCGTCGGCGGTGTAAGTGGGTTCTTTAGCGGTGGGCAAATACACGGCGGCGTTGCAGACAAGTGCGTCAAGGGGTCGACCGGAGCGCCTGAATGTGTCAACAAATTGGCGAACGCTTTCGAGGGAAGAAAGGTCGAGGTGCATAACGGTGTAGTTTTCTTTAGTAATTCCGACCGATTTAGCGGCTCTCTCGGCTTTCAAAAAGTTCCGGCAAGCCATGATGATGTGCCATTTTTCAGTATCGGCTAAAGCTTTTGCGGTGGCTAGACCTAAACCAGAAGAAGCTCCGGTAATAATTACGTTGCCTTTCCCGAGTGTTTTCTTGCCGTCTGCTACGGCGTCGTTTACCGACGGAGCTACTGTCGCCGTTTGAGCGCGAATTGGTCCAAATGATGATTTCCTTCTAAGCTCCTGTGATCAAGAAATGGAATTGAGGAAAAATGGAGTCTAGTTTTGATACAATTAATTACACATGATGGGTTTATTCAAAGGAATTGGAATTCAAATGGAAGCGGATAGGGTTTGTTTACAGTTCGTATGAACCACAAAAACGTCTCGAAAATGGAAGCCATTAAACAATTCAAGTAAATCTCTACAAATTCGAGTTTAAATGATACATACAGTCATTCAGACATTACCTTTGTTCCGATTACAAGAGAATTGAAATCAGATTTGACATTCTTTGAGACGAAAGCTCCATTGAATGAACTCTCCTTGAGAGAAGAATTCAACTTCCCCTGTTTCACATTACAAAATCAGACCACAATAACCAAATAGAACAAAATTTACTCAAATTTTCCGCATTTCTTTTACCTCCTTGTGAACGGAAATTGCAGATGGAAGAAGAGAAGCTGCTCGAAGAGCCATGGATAATCAGCGGATAAGCCAAGTAGATCTTTCTTCTTGTTAATAAAACGTACTGATATTTAACCACAATGTACAACTGGGTAGTTGTAGTAGATACTGGATAGTAGATACAACAAGTAATGTCTTCGTTGGGATTCGGGAAACGATAAGCTTTATTGGAGAAAGAGTGACACGTTGACAATTCAACAGCCAATCAAATTTCGCTATTTGGATTTCTTGATAAATTTGCATAATTCTAAATATACATGCAATCACTCCCTTAGTCTCAAACCTTGAACATTTTACACGACAAGAATTAGGTATCTTTTTTACAAAATTGCAAAAATGTTTTCCGACAAATTTATGTGTTTTTGGTCCAAAACAAAACGTTGGTGCATCATTGATCCAAAATTGAATTTTTCTATGGCTTTTATTCCTTATGGTTGGCATTATTGTGTAGTTTTGGTCCATACCCTACCTGAAATGACAAACATGCCCTTAATTAATTTTTTTTTTAACTTTCTTTCTATTAATTTCTTATTATTTTAATTAAAAACCAAGAAAAAAAATGTCAATTACCCACCTCACCCCTCCTAATTTCTTTTTAATATTTGGAACCACCACCACCTGGTCACCACCACCGACGGACCGCCCTCCTCATCGGAACACCACCGTTCTCCTTTGACACCCAATATAATACCTTTGCAGGAACCTCCATAAACCACCCTTATACCGCTACCAACAGCCACCTACATCACATACGACCACCTACACCACACCAGCCGAACAACCCCCTACAGCCTCCACTTATTTTGAATATTTTATTCCAGCCATTTGTATCATCACCACCAAGATGAACCCTAATGTAAAGATGACGATTTATTCAAGTATATGGTGTCTAGGTTTGTGTACCCTAGATTTGGCGAATGCATGGGTGAATCGGCAACCTGGAAATGTTTCCAAGTCCATAACCTTCCCTTTCCAAGATCTAGAAATCGAAAATTGTTATAGAAATCATATCACCTGTCAAAATCAGAGGAAGGGAGAAGTAGGGAGGGACTGTAGGTGGGTTAATCAACGTTTGGATGAACACAATTTTCGAATGGAGAACCAGATGAGCGGTGATGGTTTTTTTATAGCAATACAGGTGGTGGTGGTTGATGATAGTTGTCGCCCCTCTGTACCACCGGTGTTCATCTCCATTAACTTTGTTTATGCACAGATCTGGTAGTGGTAACAACATAAGAGACAGAACAGAGAGACGGAGAACTTCTCAATCCAGATTTGTATCTCGATTTGGATGAATTCTGGTGGGTGGCGATGTTGAAGGTTGACGGCGAGAATGGAGGTTGTGGAAAACCAGATTTGTAGCAGAGAAGTGTTGGCGGTGGTAAACCGGATACCGCCCATCGAGCACGTTTTTCCGATGATTATGGTGGCCGACTACGAAAGGGGAGGTGGCAGCATCTGGCGGCGAGCGGCTATAGTGACTTCAAGGTGTGGAGGCTGAAAACAAATTGCCGAAATCACTTTTAGGTTTAAGTGGTGGTGGGTTTTTTTTTTTGAATAAAAATAGATAATAAAAAAAATGGAAAAACAAACTATAAGGGCATCAATTTTGGACCAGTGGTGCACTAACGTTTCGTTTTGGACCAAAAGCACATAAATTTGCCAACCACAGGGACCATTTTTGCAATTTTGTCTATATGCAAATAGAAACCAAAACTTAAATCAACTACAGAAATCAAGAATCTTTTATATATTAGGCTGGAGGGAGTGGTGCCACTGAAACCGCACTTCCTCCTATACCACGTAGACACCAACTCATATTTTTTCTTATTTCATCGATTTGAAACCGAAATGTGGGAGTGGGAAAATGGTTAGGAGAGAAAAAAAAAAGATAGATTGGTTGAGAGAAGAGAGAGAGAGAAAGTAAAAGAGGAGAAAGAGAAAAGGGAGTGCGGGCCATGGACCACCGCAGTGCGGCCTCCACCGCACCCAAACCGCAGTGGAGGGGCGGTGTTCATGCTGAGGTGGAAGGAGACTGCGGGCGGTCCAAGCCTTACAATCTTACCGTAGAAAAAGTTATATTTTAACGCCATCTATCATCCTCGTTCCTGTGAAAACAAGTTTTAAAGATTCGACCTTTTCGTCCAATTACGTTCCAGCAATCAACATTTTCATCATATGCTCTTCTTCTTCCATCAAAGCAGCCCAACTTTTCTTAGAATTTCATCTCAAGATCGTTGTTTTCTGCAATCTGCCCAAATTGTAATTTCCGGAAACACCCTCCATCGAAACCTGCTTTTTCTCGAGGTTGTGTAAATGGCACAATAGGTGTGCCCCTAGTCGGAGATGGAGAAAGATAATGTGTCTCCTCCTCCTTCATGGAATCCGTTGATTTGTTTCTACTAAGAAACGAAGAAAAATGTGCATCGTGTTCATGACGCTTGCAAGATTCTAACTCAAGCATCACCTGAATCGCACGATCATAAGATTTGGCGCAAGATTCATCCATCTGTCTTCCACCTCTTGTAGAATCTTCAACGGAATTTAGCAGAAACTTAGCTTCTGTCATCTGGTTCATATACATTAAACAAATCGCCAGATTACACTGTTTGTTCTTATCTTGCTCCATTGAAAGCGCTTTTCTGCATCATAAAAGTGCGAATTCAATAAGGAGCCCTAAATCTGAAAAATGGCAACAAAAAAGAAATTAATATCTTGAATATAGTTTCAAAATACCTATATATCTCTTCTGCTACTTTATACTTATCTTGTTGCAAGTAAATCCAGGCCAAGTTGCCCAATAACCTTGAATACTCTTGTCCCATTGTGATTTGGATTTTCTTACCCTGAAATCTAGCAATTCTTGTTCTGTTCATCTTCTGCATTGAAGCATCCTCAATCTGCTTCAGTCTTAATTCAAGCAATTGTATCTGCTCCTCTACCCGTCCTGAGCTCTGTAAACATGTTTACAGAGTTTTTTTAGACACAATTCTTATGGGTTATGATTAATTTGTGAATTGAATTGATAATGTTTATGTAATGTACCTTGTATAAATCAAGCATAATATTGTCGAGAGATTCTTGTTCTTCGAGTGGACACAAATGACGAAAAGATTTGATAGCTTCAATTGCCTCATTTGATCTATCTAATTGTTTCATTGTTGTTGTCATGTCTTTCAAAGCACTGTCAACTCGATCGCCGGAATTTATGGCAGCCCAAAACAAAGATACCGCTTTGCTGGGATTCTTGTCTACCACCTGTCAAGAAAATTGTAGAAACAACTTGTATCTCTTTCTCTTGTGAACTAAATACTAAGTTTGAGTTTGACCCCAAAAGTCAAACTGTATATATTCTCTTCTTTCTTGATTCTAATTGATTAAGTCTGAAGATGATAAGGTAATTTTACTATCAATTCCGAAGTTAAAAGAAAGATAAAACCAAGAAACCTAAAAGAATTGTAGTCTTTGATGAGGAAAGACCTGAACATGTTTGGCTCTGAAGTAGGGAGAATCGCCGGCGGGGACTTCTTGGGTGGCATTGGAGAAATTAACATTATTGTCAGACTGTGGCGGCTTCCATTTCCTTTCCGACGCCGGCTTCAGCTGTTGCCTGGTGTCACACGGCGGAGAAGAATACAAATTCGAAGAAAAAGTCCGGTTTTTCTTCCATTGAGGTGTGGAAAATGGAAACCCTCTTGGTATGAAATTCGTAGGGTCTTTGTTCGTCCACATTGTTGATTATCAATCCGTGATTTTCAAGTTATTGATTGTCGGATCGGATGATTTGCAAACACTCTCTTGTTGTTCTTGACGACCAAGAAGATGGCGAAAATAGAGGAGTTGTTTCAAGGAAGCTGATGTCATGTGGTTGAATAATGGGGTTAGTAACGGTAATATTTTTTACCATTTCAATCATGGCCTAAATTAGGCCAACGGATATGCTCTCCCCGTGGACAAAAACTTCACTGATTTGATCATTTGACTTCAATTATCCGTTAATATTTTCTTTAACTGTTTTTTCAAAGATATTCACAAAAAAAAAAAAGCTAAAATGAGATATTTGACTTTTTTTTTTAATTATTACAAAAAGTCTCTAATTAAAAAAAAAAAGAAAAAAGATTAGAATGATGTCGGAACCGAATGAATTGGCTCGGTATGCACTCTAACTTTTTTAAGGTGTGGGGAGTTATCACCACCAATCCACCGAAAAAGTGGTGTCACCTCTGCGCCGCCACGTCATCTTCACCACCAACCCACTAGACATAGGAAATAGACACCACTCCACAACTATCTTTTTTTTTTATGATTAAATTAGATAAAAACAAAATAAAATATTTTATATTAATTAAAACCACATTACATAATTTAAAACATAGAAAATTAAACCTAAATTACTAAAAAAACATAAAAACACATAGAAAATAAAAACTAAAATACTAAAAAAACATAAAAATAACTTAGAAAATTAAATTTAAATTACTAAAAAAACATAGAATCTAATTGTGATATTTGTCGAGAACTTCTTGTTGAATTTTCATAAACACCTTTAAATTTTTCGGGTCGAGATTCGGTTGCGGCATCGTGTTTATAATTTGAAGATCGGTGAGTGCCAATTGTCGCCGACATTGTTCCTCCGTTGAATCAATTTTTTTTCTAAAAAATTTAGAGTTTTGTCGATTTTCTCCGCTAGTACGTCCTCGTTGGTTGATTTTCCGTTAGAAGACGCCCCCTTTCTCGCTTTGTCCATTTCTGGTGATCGACGAAGTTGGACGTCCGGTGGACCCTCCCTTTCGGTGGCGTCGAACTCATCATTGAGGTCGAGGTTAACACCAATGTCCGCCTCGGATGTTCTCGGCCTTTTGTTGGAAGCGGTGGTAGATCACGAATGCGCCGTTTCCGAATAAAGGTCCCATTTTGGACAATTGCGACAAACTTCCCATGCTTTTTGGTTGGCAAACGGTTTACATTTGTTGGTAATTTCGTATTGGTACAACGCGGTTGATAAAATATTGAAATCGTTGCTACCACTTCAATGCATATTTTTAAGATTGTCAAATACGCCGTTAATTATTTTTGTTAACATTAAAAAGTATATTCGTATTGGTACAACGCCGAAGTGGTTTGAAAAAGTGTCAACATTAAAGTTGGTGAGTTCATAATTATTTTTGTTATAAAAAGTATATTCTTTGTTCTTTGGAAAAGTTCGCTTGTTCCTCCAGAAAATGCTATATTTTCTTAATGAGGAATATAACTGTAACCGTTCCTTCTGCGATCACTTAGTAAATACAAATTATATATAATCCAGATAGAATAAACAGTTGAATGTATGGATCTGCCCTAAGCCCACAACCAAAAAAGGAACAGAAAGTAAGGCGGAAACCACACATTTCACTGCCTATCGGATCTTAATTATTGTAATGCCCGTGTTTCTAGGCTAGGCATTAATATTGACATGATAGTCTAGGTTAACCTTTGTGACT